TGAAAAACTAGAGATACCTCCTTCAGGTGCATGGGACTGGAGGGAGAGATTTGTTGGGTCCATCCCATGTGAAAGGGAGACACCTTCCTTTGGATTTGAAATGTCAAGCCAACTAAAGGAGTAGTAAGGAAGATTTTATGGCAAATCATTCCTTGGTTTCACAATAAATATTTGACTTTTGCCATTAACATGGTATCATTGATGACATCAACGAAGCAGTCCTAAACACTATAAATAGGTGTCTTGCTCTCAATTGCTAAACACACCAAACAAAGAGAAAGAGAGTGATTTACAGAGTAAGAAACAAAATACTCAGTGAGAAAAAACATAAAGAGTTTGAGCGGTATAGTAGTGAGGTGCAAAAATCAAAAGAGGGTTATTTCTTTTGAGTGTTTAGTGGTCTTGGAGTATTTTACTCGATACCGCAAATTATAAAATCCTTGCTACAGTGAAATTAGTTGCTCCTCTCGGGACGTGGTTTTTTCCTTATTCAGAAGGGTTTTCCACATAAAAATCTAGTGTTCTTATTTCTCTTATTATTGTCGTTGGTTATTGTATTTTAGTAATCCGCATTTATTACAGTCGTATACCGTGAACATTATTTTTGTGAGAGTTAATTTCCCCAACATCAACTACAGTGAACAAATTGAACGAGTTTATTCAACATTCGTTTCTCTGTTGTGATGGAGCGGCCGTGCAAATGTAGTTTTCTGATGTAGAGTTTAAAGACCATATTATTATCAGGAACAGAAATCTATAATACTGAAACTTTCAAGATATCAATTATTTATGATTAAAATCTCAAATATCATGTTCACAAATACCAACGGTTGGTTTTTTAAAAGATGGGGCATCAAAAAGATTAAAAGTATTAGTCGAAAATATTTCTCCATAAATTTTATAAAGAAAGAGGGCTTTAAATAGCCACTTTAAAAACAGAATTTGCAGAAAATCTGGAGAATAAATATTCAAATTTAAAAACCTAAACTATCTCAACTAACTTATCCTATTAAATTTAATTTAAACAAAGACTCCTCCTTCAACTAAACTACTTATTATTATGGTAAATCAAATATCAGCAATAACAAATGCAAAATCCAACCCTCCTCCTTGCTTTTGTTGCTGCAATAAGTTGATCCTCCTCAATTTCTGCTTCGGCAATTTGTGCTTGTGCGTTCTTTCAAGTGATTTTGAACTTGCATCCATCTGCAATATGACTTGTTCTTTCTTTTTTTTTCTTTTTGGTTTTACGCATAAAAAACAATCTCAACAACTTTGTCTTGTCTGAAGGTTCTTCTAAAGGAGTTTTAATTTGGGTAATTATAAGATTTGCATGGAGTGGTTGTAAAGATCTTTCTTCTATTACAACATTCCATAAATCACAGGTGTGAAGATACGATTTTATTTTCACTGACCAAATCTAATAATTTTTGCCAGTGAAAGTTTGTGGGGTATTCAACGAGAGACTGCTGCTTTCCACGTTTGAAAATTGGTTTAAAAATTGATATTGGTTAAAAATAATTTGAAAATGGTTCTTTGGAAGAACTCACAGATCCCTTAAGAAAAATGAAACTTTGATACCACTGTTGGTCTTTTAAAAGATGGGGCAGCAAAAAGATGAAAAGTATTCATTGAAAATGTATCTCAAGGAAATTTTATAAACCAAGAAGGCTTTAAATAACCAATTTAAAAACAAAATCTGCAGAAAATCTGGAGAATAAATATTCAATTTCAAAAACCTAAACTATCTCAACTAACTTATCCTATTAAATTTAAATTTAAACAAAGATCCCTCCTTCGACTAACCAACTTATTATTCTGGTAAATTAAATATCAGCAGTAACAAATGCAAAATCCAACACCAACGATGCACAGGTGCCAAGTGAAACTCTAAATTTTTCTTAATGCAGTTCGAGCCATCAATGGAACGTGAAAAACAAATCCGTCTTATTCAAATCTCAAAAAGGGCATGGCCTCTTGTGTACATGACGGCCAAGAAAACAAAATCCAGCCGAAAGAAAGAAAAAAAGACCAAAAAAGAACAAAATAGTTCCAAGATTGCTTCCTACCTTTCATGCCAAAACTTGACTAGGCTAACTAGCTAGCTAGCATTTCAACTAAACTAATCAAAACCCATGATCATGTCATTGCCGAAGCTCTCTATCATCTTTTCAAACTTGACCATCTTCTTCCTCTCTGGCTCTGTTGCCTTGTCATGCGGAGAAGCCGGTGACGATGATGGCAAGATGACTTGTTCACTTTGAGCATTGGCAATCCTCTTAAGCCTTTTCTCACTTATACCAAATGCAGCTGCAAATTCTGGCCCCCTCAAGCTTTGCATCAATGAGTTTTTACCCACCAAGAATTGTTGATGGTTCCTCCTTGCTGATGTCGTGAAGCCAAAGAACTCAAACGGGCCATTTGTTGAAGCAATTTGGCAGAAGGGGAAGTACCTCGGCACCCAAAAAACATCCCCTTCTCGTACTCTAGCGTTCATGGCTAAAGTCCCATTTGGATACACAATTTGGATTCTGCCTGTCCCTTTCAACACTATTCCATATTCTATTGCTGTTGGATTAACATGAGGTGCCACCATGGATCCCTACATTAACCGACAAACTTAGATAAAAATAGGTAAGCTAGGGAAAAAACATACTATTACAATACATAGACCATGTCAACTAGATTTGCCTTCACAATAGGAGATTTGAGATTTTTTAATCAAAGGTCTCCACTTGCCTTATGCAAATTTACGATTTTTAAGTAAGTGAGTGAGTAGGATCACTGCATCACCATGCTTCCGTGACTATAAGTTCCAACTTGTTATAATACATAATTTTAAAATATTTGTATTTATAACTTTGTAACTCCAATTGAAGGTGAGCGGGGGTGTTCGAGGAATACAAATAACCTCTGGTATTTTTCAGATTTGGTGCACTTGCATTTGTCTTCAATATGCAACCACCGATGCATTTCGCCAGACATTTGCAAGATTTACGCTAAATAAGAACAAAATAAAGAAAAAACAAACAGATTTCATGTATGATCGATGACCTTGAATAAAGAGAGGGTAATTACCGGAGATAGATTGACAAGATAAACGTCATTTCCAGATATCTTTAGAGGAGAATAATTAGACTCATCCAACTTCTTGCTCCATCCATAGTCGTTCTTGAAATCGGCCTTCCTGTTGTAGAGATTATACGCTGATGGAGCTTTATGATTCACTCTCTCGACAACGTCTTCCCCGTTTAACAAAGTTAGTAGAAATTTCCGCAATGACCATGTTGATTCCTCTTCTTTTGGGATAGTTTCTTCTCCAAAATTTGCAATCCTCTTCAACTGAGCTAGTCACTTGTAGGGTTCTTGGGCCAAGAATTTTGACCAAGTGTGTGTGCGATGAGAACCAGATAAATGCATGATCGGTCCGGAAGATTGCCTTGTCAAGAACGTGCTTAATTCTGCTGTCGAGACCTGCAGTTATACAATATTAATCTTGATTCAGTTTTTTTTTTCCACTGACAAATGTAGCAAGAAAAGGTAAAATACTTAAATACTTACATTAAGAGCAGCTGATAATGTGGTATGGTCGAACCCAGCAAGAATGGATGTAGGATAATTTCCACCACCAATGAAGAAAGACTGCAAAATAGTTAGATGAGTTACAACAAAATTTTGGGGGGAAAAAAAGCTATAAACGTAAGACAAGAAATGGATTAAAAGATCAATTTTTGAGAAATTGGTTTAGGGTACCTGGAAAGCATGCCATCCCATGGATTCAGAGGTAACATCAATACTGCAAATAATGTGAAGTCTCTGGTTTTCAACTCTATTCTCCAAATAGAAAGCTGATCCAGCAGGAATTGTGTACACATCTCCGGGCTTCAAACCCCTTTCTGCTAATTCATCCCCGTAGATGTGTCCAACTCTTGCTTCCCCTGTATTCATTTCATAGAAAATGAACATTCTAGCTTACTAAGCAAAGGATACCTAAATTGACTGACATTATGTATATAAAAAATGATGTTATTTTAAAATATTGTAGCAGACTTATTTTTTGGGCACTTTTTTTTTTTAAAAAAAATACATGTAGTTATCTTTTATGTGATCTGATAGCGTAAAAAATCTAAAACACTGTCGAAGGTAAAATCAAAAAATTAAGTTTACCATGGTGAACAAAGAGGAGAAGATTGGAATCAAGGTACTGAGGGATGAAGAGGCTATTGGGTTCCATAGAGATGAAACCAATATGCATTGGAGTATGGAAAGATGTTCCTCTACGATATCCACCATTCACCAATTTCATCACCCCAGCATGAGTTTTCACTACATCATGTAAGTGACGCAGCAAAAACCATTTTTCTCCTTGAGTTCTTTGCTCACTTTCTTCCTCATCTCTTTCTCTCCAATGCCCGCCAACAGAGGCCACTAGTGCAGAGAAAAGTACCAGCACTAACAGCAGCAGACTCTTTCTCTTTCCCATAATTCAACTCGTCTCGTAATAAAAAGGCAAGTTTTCTTTAATCAGTTTTGCTTCACTGTTGACTGAGGTGCAGAGTCTGTAACTATTTATATAGAGGAAATGGTGAGATTTTAGGGGCGTTTCTGTCAACCATGCAGGATTTCCAGGCTTTTCTGCGATATTATACATTGAGATCCTGAAAGATATACGGTGAACCAATGAAAAGTTGTTTTACTCTAAGTTTGTAAACAGAAACCAATTGATGTAGCAGCAAAACTGCAAGTTGATGACCACTTCAAAGGACTACTCTAGCGCAATAAAAGAAAGGATTTATAAACACACTAATTTTAATAATTTAATAAACATACTAATTTTTCTTACACATTAATATTGGTAGAAACAAAGGATAAAGAGTTGACCTGAATCAACTCAGTTACTATTATTAATTTATTACTAAAAAAAGTTTAGTTGTTGATCAGACTAATAGGTGACGCCGGTGCCGTGTCCTACCTTAGATCATTCTAAACTCGGCAGCTGGTTTCTTATACTTTCTGTAAGCACAGTAAATGGATATGGCGCAAAATAGCAGCTGCAGGAAGAGACCTAATATACTTATCACCGGAGCTCCGGGCACAGGGAAGACGACTACAGCGTCTGCCTTGGCGGAGGTGACGCAACTCCATCACATCAACGTCGGCGACTTTGCAAATGAGAAAAACTTGACCAACGGCTGGGATGATACCTTCGATTGCTACTACATCAACGAAGACCTCGTAAGTCTTAAACATTCTTCTTCTCCCAAAAAGAACCAGAACTCGAAACTGATCTAGGGTGTGTTTGTTAGGAACGTGTCAATGTTCTCATATTTGGTTGATTTAAATATTTTGGAAACTATATTTTCGTGAACTCATTTTACTCCAATTGTTTTCAGAAGGGTAAACATTTTCCAAAACTTTTTTTCAACATTAATACCACCCTATTCCCCATATATCCCCACCAACCCACCTGCACCCCATCGCCACCAACCCCAACATGGAGACTTAGGGGAGGGATGAGGAGAGTATCATAAAAGTTATTTTCCTAAAATATATTTTCTACTCTTTAATCAAACACTTGAAAATATCCGGAAAAAGCTTTTCACTCACCAACCAAACAAGGGAAAATAAATGATGAAACCATTCATTTTCTACAAAAATATTTTCTAAGAAAATATTTTCCTTCGTACCAAACACACCCTAATTTTAGGTAAATTTCTTAGTTTGAAACTTTTGTCTATATTTTTCCTTAATATCAAAATTTAATACTGCACGGAGATTAATGAGCACAAACAGTTAAAGCTTGTGTTGTGGTATTAATTTGAATTTTATTTCAGTTGTGCTATTCAATTCACTAATGTTGAAGGTGTCACGTGAATGGAGTGACAACTGTAGCTTAGCTGTCATAACAGATTAGTTAGGATATATTAGTGATAATTAATTAGGATTAGTTAAGTTGGTTCTACAGTATATAAGATGATGTACAGTGTATTTTTTCAATAGAACAGTGAAATACATTTTCCTCTCCTTTCTTCTCCGTTACTTCTAAAACATGTGAAGCTTGCAGATGCTCCCATGGTGGAAAGCTAACATGGTATCAGAGCCTAACACGACAATCAAGATCTACTGATTTTCTTCTTAATTTCGTATGAACGAAGGTTCATCATCTTCTTCTCCTTCTTCTCCTACCTCACCTTCTCATAGAAACATCGAGTCAACAATTGCGACAGAAAAAATAGATCACACACATCCCTTGTTTGTGCATCCTTCAGATACTCCAAGCTCCGTATTAGTTCTGATTCAGCTCACATGCTTTGAGAACTACGGGATATGGCGGAGATCGATGAGAATCGCACTTTAAGCAAAACGCAAGTTAGGGTTCGTAACTGGTACCTACAACAAGGATCAATTTAGGCCTGAATTGCATGAAGATTGGGAAACATGTAACGCAATTGTGCTTTCATGGATCATGAACACAGTGTCGCCAGATCTACTTAGTGGAATCGTATATGCATCAAACGCTCACTTAGTTTGGGAAGATCTTAAGGAGAGATTTGACAAGGTGAATAGGATGAGGATTTTTCAGATACATCGAGAGATAGCCACGATTTCTTAAGGCACAGATTCAGTGTCCATGTATTTTACGAAATTGAAGGAACTCTGGGCTGAGTATGATGCGATGGTACCTTCGACAAATTTGAAGGAATACACAGATCACCTTCAGCGACAGAGGTTGTTGCAATTTTTAAGTGGACTAAACGACTCATATGCTCAAGCTAGGAGATAGATCCTGATGAAATCACTGATGAAATCAGTGGAACCTACCTTGAATCAAGCGTATGCTTTAGTTGTTGAAGATGAAAGCCAAAGGAACACATCACATACTGGACTTAATTCAGTAGCCGAGGGGAATGACATTACTGCTCTATGGAGTTCAACATCTAGAGGAAGCTCAATGCAAAAGAATAAAAGAAACTTCAATGCATTTTGTGATTTCTGCAAAATGAAGGGACATATGAAGGAAAACTGTTATCAGCTTGTTGGTTATCCAGCTGATTTCAAGGGAAGAAGGAAACCAGTAGTAGGGAACACAGGTGGCCATCAATATCAAAGAGCAAATGCTGCATATCATGGAGATTCCTCTAAGGCTAGAGGAAGTTATGATGCAGGAGAAACAGGACAAGCAGGTATGGCTGGTACTGGTTTTGGAACTTCTATTGCAGGAACAGCAAGTGGAAGCAACAGTCATATGCAGATGCAAGGGACTCAACCACAAGGATCTGGAGGGAGTGTTGCTATCACTTTTACTCCTGAGCAATACAAGCAGATCCTACAGTTGCTCAACAAAGAGAATGTCCCAGAGATATCAGCTAACATAGCAGGTACTATTTGCTCATTCCTGGCAAATTACAAATGGATAGTGGACATAGGGGCAACAGATCATATGGTGTCAACTCCTGATGCATCGTTTGATCTTCATGATTACCCTAAGCAAGGTACCTCAGTACACTTGCCAAATGGAAAACAATTGTCTATTAGTCATGTTGGTAAATGTAGGTTAGCAGAAGGGGAGATTAGTGATGTGATATGTGTGCCTGAGTTCAAATTTAACTTGTTATCAGTGGCAAAGTTAGAGAGCTGCAATGTTTCATGTCATTCTATCCTGACTTCTTCTTGATGCAGGACCTCCACACTGGGAAGGTGAAGGGGACTGGTAGAATGCAAAATGACCTATACTACTGGAGAAGCACATTACATAATAAAGCATCACACTCACTGACTTCCAGATTGACTCCATCAGCAGGCCTATGGCATAAAAGATTAGGGCATGTCCCTCATAGAGTATTACAACAAATGGATATATGTAAGGGTGTTGACATAGCTGCAGACAAAACTTGCTCAATTTGTCCACTAGCTAAACAAACTAGATTACATTTTCCTCAAAGTACTAGTAGAGCTAGTAGAATTTTTGAACTAATACATGGAGATGTCTGGGGTCCTTACAAGGTACCCACTCATGATGGCCATAGATTTTTTCTTACACTTGTTGATGATTGTAGTAGGATGGTTTGGATTTTCTTGTTAAGACTGAAGAGTGATGTTTCAGTGGTAATAAAGGACTTTCTGCAGTTGATAAAGAACCAATTCAATGGTTCAATCAAAGTCTTTAGGAGTGATAATGGTACAAAATTTTTTAATTCACACTGCAGGGATTTGTTTAGTAATGCAGGCATTGTGCATCAGAGTTCTTGTGACACTCCTCAACAGAATGGAGTGGTTGAGAGGAAGCATAGACAACTCCTTGAAGTAGCAAGGGCCATCAGATTCCAAGCATCTATTCCCTTGAAATTTTGGGGAATTTGTGTTCAGAATGCAGCATACTTAATAAATAGAATCCCCTCTACTGCCTTGGTAGGGCAGTCTCCATTTGAGGTCTTCTATGGCAGGGTCCCAAACTTACAGCATTTGAGAGTCTTAGGGTGCTTGTGCTATGCCACCAATGTTACTACCAAGAGTGACAAATTTGCCAGTAGAGCTATTCCAGCAGTGCACATGGGATACTCTAGCACCCAAAAGGGGTACAGGTTATATGACCTTGCTACAAGATCCTTTTTAGTGAGCAGGGATGTGTCTTTTAGGGAAGATGTTTTTCCATTCAAATCCTCTCACTACCAGTTGAAGCCCTCAGTTATTACTGATGATTTGGATATCTCTCTTGATCCTTTTGAACATGCAGCAGAAGATACCACATGTCCTTTGGAGTCTTCATCTGATCCTGCTCCTGTTCATTATTCAGTTGGAACTCCAAATAGTCCAACAGCCATTGTCAATGCTGATGATACCACTCACTCCCTAATGCCATGTCTGATGAGATCCTATTGCCAGACTCAAGACTTAGGGATGTTTCAGACCTTCACTGCCCTAATTTGCCCAATGCCACTAGAAAATCCTGCAGAACATCCAAACCTCCAGGGTGGCTCAATGATGACATACACACAGTATCTAAGTCTACTTCTCATGCAGCAACAATGGGATCACTTTACCCATTATCAGCCTATATGTCCTATGCTTCAATCTCCAGTCCCTATTATGCAGTTTTGTGCAACATGTCCACTATCAGAGAACCTGACAATTATGAAGAGGCTTTACTCAACCCTCACTAGGTTGAAGCCATGAAACTAGAGTTGCAGGCCCTACAGGATAACAATACTTGGTTGCTAGTTGACTTTCCTACTGACAAGAAGCCAATTGGGTGCAAATGGGTGTTCAAAGTCAAGTACAATGCCAAAGAAGAGGTGAAAAGGTACAAAGCTCGCCTAGTTGCCAAGGGCTATACACAGTATGAGGGATTGGATTACCAGGAGACCTTTTCCCCAGTGGTCAAGATGGTCACTGTGAGGTCTGTTTTCTCATTGGCAGCTATGTTTGGTTGGAAATTACATCAAATGGATGTATTTAATGCATTCCTCCAAGGTGATCTTGTAGAAGATTTTTACATGGTGCCCCCACCTGGTCTTTCAGGACAGGGGGAGTGCAGCAAAGTTTGCAAACTCCAGAAGTCTCTATATGGCTTAAAGCAGGCTTCTCGTCAGTGGAACCTGAAGCTTTGTGAAGCTCTTATATCGTCAGGTTTCCTCCAGAGTCATTATGACTATTCCCTTTTCATTAAAAGGTCAGGCTCTCATATGGTTATTATTCTAGTGTATGTGGACGACCTCCTTATTACAGGTTCTTCAGTTTCTCTTATTCAAGAGGCCAAGCTCATGCTTCATCATCATTTCAAGATCAAGGACCTGGGGGGAGATGAGATACTTCCTTGGTCTTGAAATTGCTCGAAGTCAGGATGGGATTCTAGTCTGTCAGAGGAAGTTTGCATTAGATCTCATTGCTGACCTTGGGCTGAGTGGCTCTAAGAAAAATGCCACTCCAATGGAAGCGAATCAAAGGTTTACCAGCATTGAGTATGACAAAGGCTGTGAGACTACAGATGTTGTTGATGAATTGTTGTCTGATCCTGCTGGATATCAGAGGCTAGTGGGAAAGCTACTCTATCTAACTATGACTCGACCAGACATTAGTTACACAGTGAAGAACTTGAGTCAATTCATGCACAGACCAAAGAAGACACATATGGAAGGGGCTCTGAGGGTGGTGAGATATCTGAAGAATGCACCTGGATTGGGGATACTATTGAAGTCCAAACCATCATCAGAGCTTACAGTCTACTGTGATGCAGACTGGGCGACTTGTCCCATGACAAGAAGATCAGTAAGTGGTTTTGTAGTCAAGATAGGGGACTCTTTGATTTCTTGGAAATCGAAGAAATAGAACATAATATCTCGAAGCTCTGCTGAGGCTGAATACAGGAGTATGGCAAATGCAATTGCAGAAGTGGTGTGGCTTGCTGGACTCTATGGAGAGCTGGGAATGAAGTTGAAGCTGCCAGTAAAGCTGTTTTGTGATAGTAAAGCAGCACTCCAAATTGCTGCGAATCCTATATACCATGAGCGAACGAAACACATAGAGATTGATTGTCATTTCATTAGGGAAAGGATTCAAGAAGGCATGGTTTGTATAGAACATGTACCCACAAACTTGCAACTGTCTGATATCCTAACTAAAGGACTGCGGAAGGCACAGCATGAATTTTTGTTATCCAAGCTGGGAATGTTCAACCTGTTTACATTACACAGCTTGAGGGGGAGTGTTAAAGGTGTCACGTGAATGGAGTGATAGCTGTAGCTTAGCTATCATAACAGATTAGTTAGGATATATTAGTGATAATTAATTAGGATTAGTTAAGTTGGTTCTACAGTATATAAGCTGATGTACAGTGTATTGTTTCAATAGAACAGTGAAATACATTTTCCTCTCCTTTCTTCTCCGTTACTTCTAAAACATGTGAAGCTTGCAGATGCTCCCATGGTGGAAAGCTAACAACTAACATATTCAGTATCAGAATAAAATGGACCTGAGTTGAGCCTAATGGATATAGTGTATTCATATAGCCAATATCAACTAATTTGGAATTGAAGTTTAGTTGATTGATTAATTGATTTGTACTCTTCAAACTGAAAAAATTCGTTATTAATCAAAATATGAGTTAAGCAAAATAACATCTGCTTTCCTGCCGATGGCTATTTTAAGTTATATTAGGACTTGTTTATGCAATCTTGTTCGGCTTTATGGACATGATTTTCTTGTCATATAATCATGCAATTCCAACAAAATTGTACCAAACATTCTTTTCCCTTGCATCTCAAATTTGTAGTCATCCATCGTTAAGATGTGTACTCAGCAATTGCTTTTCTTGATTTTATCCAGGTATGTGATAAGCTTGGAAACTTGATGGAAGAAGGTGGAATTATCGTTGATCATCATGGATGTGACTTCTTTCCTGAACGTTGTTTTGATCGCGTAGTGGTGCTTCAAACTGACAATTCTGTCTTGTATGGTCGGTTCACTAAGAGGTACTCTATCTGTAACAACCTCCAAATATGTACACTCACAATAACCGAAGAAAGATGATTGTTCAATTAATAACCAAAATACATAAGGAAAATTACAGAAGGATAGAAGAACAGTAACCCAGAAGAAGGGGATGAGAACGCAGAGGACACAGAATAGGGGATGAGAGGACTTTGACATTTTACTCAACAATAATCGGCTCCTATTTTTAGCCTAAGGTAATGCTATTTATTAATTCCTCATACCTCACATGTTCCTAACCCGGAACCCACAAATAAGTTTTTAAGTTTCCATCCATGCCCTCCCAAATATTAACTACGTTCAGAACAATACCCCCAACCTCAATAAGAACCTTGTCCTCAAGGTTCGAGATAGGAAATTCTATTGAGAGAACATAAGCATTTGTGTTGGATTGCACCATTGAAAAGGATTCCCATATGTAATCTTTCGTTGCCGTCAGTGTAGTATCATATATTGAGTCAAATGCAGTGGCACAATCATTGTCCAAAACTATCCAACCATGAGAAAGTTGAACATTCAATAGAGAAAAAGCCATCCCAACAGCCACACTACTTAGGCACGTCACTTTAGTTGTACGTGAATGCAAAGTAAGGAACTCATCACAATGCCATATTGAAGCTTGACCATCCGTAGAATATCCAGAAGGAAGAGCTTGCTGGGCACTACCAATTGCATTACATTGTAGCTGTGTTGCTTTATGTTCATCACTGTCCTGAAAGAGGGAGCATTTCGTTTCTTGGTGAACTCCACCTGGATCACAAGCTTGCTGCCAGGTCGCAATGTCCGAGTCACCGAAATAAAAGCAAACTGCCACTATGTCGTCACAGCTTTCTGCTTTATCATATAAAACAAAGCGATTACTCGATCGATGCAACTTTAAAGCTTCACCAGTATCTAATGCATACCCAAGAATGGCAAAGGAGCTTCCCCTGCCAAAGTCAATAAAACTAACTCCTTGTACCTGAGCAGAGCTAATGAATCGCTATTCTTGTGGCGAATTGAGCTTCTGCAATGCCGCATGAGACTCACACTTGAGAGAATACCACTCATGAACATGAATCTGATGATATGAGTCAAAAGCGGTTGGGTGATGCTTAAATCTAGTTGCAAATGCGGCAAGCAAGTCACACATTAGAGCACCACCCGTTGCTAGTCCATTCACAATCCCCCCATGATCATGCTACATAATTATCGCGTTCAAATTATCTTTAGTTGTTGGAAATAATTGTCCCGTAACAACATTGTTCAATTTGTCAATCTCCGAATACATAGAACAGCACATCGTGCTTGTCCGCAGTTCAACAGAGTGCAGGAAGGCGGAGAAAGGTGGTTTCTGGAGTCGTAGAGGCCAAGGCTGAATGTTGCTAGAACCTTCCTCCATATTATTTCTCTCTCTCATGTAGATAAATTCACCGGGATCAAAATGAGGGAATATATTCTTATGCAATCGGATTCCAGCCAAAATGAAGATGTCACTACTATCCCAGAATAAGTCTGTGATGACCCAAAAAGTCACCACTTATGTTAGAAACAAATTCAGTGTTTTGAGGTCTAAAAACCTCCTTTTTACCTCACCTCGATTTGCGTGTGCAGTTCGGGTGCATAGCCGAAAAGCCATTATATGAAAATCTGTGAAAAATAATGAATTTTGCCTTTAAAATGAATTTAAGTTAACTTCGGTCAACATTTTGAGTAAACGGACCCGGATCCGTGTTCCGACAATCCCGAGAGGTCCGTAAGAAAATGTGGGAGAAATGAATTTTTAAAGAAAATTGTTTTCTGAAAAATACATGAGTTTTTGAAAATGAAATGTGTTTGAAATTTGATGGTATCGAGCCCGTATCTTGGTTCCGGAACCCGGTACAGGTCTTATATGTGATTTAAGTGGAATCTGTGAAGTTTGGTAAGAAACGGACTTGAAATGGCGTGAATCGGACCTTATTTGAGAAAATTGGAAAATTTGATGTTCTTAAGTGATTTCATGATTTTAATGTTAAATTCATAGTTGTAGATGTTATTTTGGTAATTTGAATGCACGAGCGAGTTCGTATGATATTTTTGGGTTAGTGTGCATGTTTGGTTTGGAGCCCCGAGGGCTCGGGTGAGTTTTGGATAGGCCACGGAGCGAAATTGGACTTAGGAAAATTGCTGGTGTGTTGCAGGTGTGTAGCAGGCCCCTGATCTCGCATTTGTGAGATCAGGCATCGCAATTGCGATGCAAGCAGGGTTCGTAAATGCGAGATATTCGTCGCAAATGCGAAGAACCCCGGTCCAGCATTATCTCGCATTTGCGAGATACACTTCGCAAATGCGAAGTGTTCAGTTTATGCCTGAAGCCACAAATGCGACATAAGTATCGCAAATGCGGTATTCGCAAATGCGACAGCCCTATCGCAAATGCGAAGAAGGCCGGATAATTGACTTGGTCGCAAATGCGACATTTTGTTCGCAAATGCGAAAGTCCTAGTATTCTGAAGGGTTCGCAATTGCGAACCCTGGTCACAATTGCGACATCACAGACCTGTAAATCCACACTTAGACGCATTTTCAACCATTTTTCAATCATTTAGCATTTTTTTATGTAATTAAGTAACTTATGGCTAAATACGAGCGAATTGGTGGTGGAATCAAGAGGTAAAGCTATAAGTGAGGCTTGAACTGTGTTCGTAGCATCGAGGTAAGTGTTTGGTCTAACCTTAGCTTGAGGGATTAGGAGTTGTGTCCTATTTGCTATGCGTTATTTGCTGAGTACGACGTATAGGCATGGTGACGAGTATCTATACGTTGGTGTCAAGCATGCCCGTGAGTCTTATGTTATGATTAATGTGAATCCGTTTGTATTGTTCATGTTTAATGTGGTGGTTGCTATTGTTGAGCAAGGTTTGTGGAAAGAATATTGATATTTGTACATTGAAGAGCATTGGCTCAAGTTGTAAAGTGATTTGTGGAACTATAATTGGCAATTGAACCTTATAGAGCATTGGGTCAAATTGTGAATCAAGTTGGGAAGTAAATGTGAAAATGAGAAGAGGATTATGGTATTGATCCCTTTCCGGGACGTTGTTGCTTTTAATGTTGTTCCCTTGCCGGGATGTTGTTGTTTTGATATTGTTCCCTTGTCAGGATTTTATTATGATTCATTTATTCCTTGCCCTTATTATTTGTGTTTGTTGTTTGGGTGAGGAAGAGTGTAAAGCACGAAGGGTGATGCCGTGCATTATTTTGGTGAGAGAGTGTAAAGCACGAGGGTGATACCGTGTATGATTTTGTGAGGCAGAGTGTAAAGCACGAAGGGTGATGCCGTGCCGCACGATGTACCATTTCGTGCCTTTATATGAGTGATTATGTGAGGTAAAAGCACGAAGGGTGATGTCGTGCAAATTATACTGATTTTCATGGTGAGGAGGAGAGTAAAAGCACGAAGGGTGATGTCGTGCACTTGTCCTTGATTTTCCTGATTTTACTGGTAATTAAGTTATGGTGTTCTTTACGCTTACATACAGATTTCCTGTTCTTACTTGATTTTATTGTGTTGTTATTGATTCCCTTGCCCAAATTGCTTTGTGATTGTTGCTTGGGTGAGGAAGAGCGTAAAGCACGAAGGGTGATGCCGTGCATTGTTTTGGTGAGAGAGTGTTAAAGCACGAAGGGTCATGTCGTGCATTGTTTTGGTGAGAGAGTGTTAAAGCACGAAGGGTGATGCCGTGCACTTGTCTTTGATTTCCTGATTTTTATTGATAACTGAGTTATGGTTTGTCTACATTTAATTGTTGGATTTCTGTTGATACTTGTACCCCGCAGCATGATCCCCCTTCATATCTTCAATTGAACTTTGGCGATCTTTATATTTATTCATTGTTCTTCTGTTATTATTCGATGTCCCCGCAGCATATTTCCCCCTCCCATCCTTAGTTGTACATTTCTGCTTGTATTGTTCCGCTGTATATGATTTAACTGCATAGGTTTATTTTGGTAGTCTGGTCCTAGCCTCGTCACTACTTCGCCGAGGTTAGTCTAGGCACTTACCAGCACATGGGGTCAGTTGCGCTGATACTACACTTTGCACTCTTTTGTGCAGATCCAAGTGCTGTAGATTTCGGACCGCAGTGAGATTGCTGCTTATTGTTCATCAAGCGACCCAAGGTAGTCCTGCAGGCATCCGCAGGCCTAGGCGTCTCCTTCTATTTACTATTCCTGTTTCTTTCATGTATTTCTAGAGACAGTGTTGTATTTATTTCTTTCAGGCCTTTATTTGTAGTACTCCTAGACAGTCTGTGATGTTGTGACACCAGTCTTGGGTAGTTTTGTTATGGAATGGTGTTAGCAGTATTATTAAACTTGAAATTGAATCTTCCGCTTGATTAAATTTTGTTGTATATAGATTGTTATTTCTAAATAGTTAACGAATTTGAAAAAGGAAACAAGGCAAATAATTCAGTAGATTGGCTTGCCTAGCTTTCACTAGTAGGCGCCATCACGACTCCCGAGGGTGGAAAATCCGGGTTGTGACAAGTTGGTATTAGAGCTCTAGGTTACATAGGTCTCACAACTCACAGACAAGCTTAGTAGAGTCTGAGGGATCGGTACGGAGATGTCTGTATTTATCCCCCAGAGGCTACAGAGTTAGGAAAAACTTCACATCTATTCTTTCCTATCATGCGACTTGACTTCTCAGTGTTAGTTGAACTTCCACTCCTGTTCCTTCGGGAATGGAGAGGTCACGTACAGCTTCTTCAGCGAGAAGCAGCACAGACCGGTGATAGAGCAGCTATGTCTTCGGAGACTTGGTAGAGAGATTATCATTTGGCTAGACCAGTTGGGTCACCAGCTTTGACTTGGGATCAGATCTCTCAGCTGCTTTTGGAGAAGTTTCTTCCCACTGAGAGAGAGAGAGTTAGGAGGTTCATTGAGGGACTCATTCAGTCCGTCAGGGTCAGCAGTCTCAACAGCCGAGGGCTTGTTATACTTGTGGTGAAATGGGTCACATTGCTAGATTTTGCCCTCGGGCATCGAGCAGCTCTCAGTATCAGGGTTCCCAT